AATATATATATATATATATATATACTTACATTCCTAACTGTGTACAAGAAAGCTGTTCTTCTTTCACATTGAAAAGTATTAACGGTTTTTGTTTTACTAAATTGGCATAATTTACCACTTCTGCTATTCAGTGGCTTAAATTTTAAGTTAATAATCTACAAAAGTTGTTAATACAAGATAATACAATATGTTACTGTGCATGTATTTTTAAACATTCTACCATGATCTAGTTAATGATACTTTTAATAAAGTAATCAGTTTTTAGTATTTCCAAACAACTACATTGAAAGTATTTATAGAGATGATTGAAGCAGTTAGAAAAGGCAAAAATTGCACTGCAACTGGAGGCATGAAAATATGGAAATGCAATATAAACATATGCTGAGATTGTTAAGACTGTATGATCCAAGCTGAGTACTTTTAGGAATGCCTCAGATAGGGGGGAAATAATGTCTTGGGTTAAAATATAAACATTCCTACTAACACATCTTTCATGAAATGTTTTGGGTTTAATATAGCATCTTTACCTACTGCTTCTCAGAATGTAACTTGCAAATTTTACTATCTCAAATTAATTCCAAACCAAAGACGAATGCATTAGATTTTGTCTTGGAGCTTCTCTTCCATTGTACAGATATCTACTATATAAAGAGAAAAACTCGAGCCTTCCATCTGTAATTCCAGTGTCTTGACTATTGTGGTACTGATTGACATGCAACTTGCATATTACATAATCCTGTTAATGTGAGTTTAATATTCTACTGTTGTTAATTAATCTGTCACAGTTCACTTATACCTTGAAACTTGTTCATAACTAGATTTTTGTCTTGGAGCTTCTCTTCCATTGTACAGATATTGTACCATATAAAGATGGAAAGCTGGGCCCTCCTTCTGTCACACTAATATCTTGGCTGTTGTGGTACCAATCGACATGCAACTTGCATGAAACAATGGTGCTTTCTGCCACGACAAGCAAGTTTGTCTTTTTAAAACACTTCCAGCCATGTGTATATATATAAGATGGACGATGCACCACTTTGGGCATAGGTAGGTTGGTAGAGATGGTGATCAGTAACAAAATCAAATCAAGTGTATTTGTGCCCCAAGCTTGGTATTGCTGGCACAAAAAATCATAATCATTGGCTGAAATTCCCCATTACATTTCTTTGACTGTCAAGGAAATGCACTGATGCAACATCACAAAATTTTTACAATAATACAAGTATAATAATATGCATGTTTTATCCGCAGCATTTCAATTTTGAAAATGCCGAAATTAAAGTGTGCAGCTCAAGCTCAGCAAGCTAACAAGGTCAAAACCACAAAAACAGTCCAAAAAAGATCTTAAAATTCATAATTTCCCATCTTATACATTCAGCTTGTATATGATATTAATATACTCTTGCTTATTTCTTGAAAATAAATTATGTTAAAACTTAGACAAAAAATAGTTAAATACATGCTTTTATTTATTTTGTTTCGAATGTAAAATTATGAATTTGCTAAAGGTTTATTTTTAACACATCCTTCAGGAGCCAAGGGGTGTCTTTACCCTACAATTTGTTAAATGTAATATGTAAGTTCAATCCAGAAACTCCCAAAGAGGGTGGTTTTGGACGTGTCTTTTTGAGACAATTTTTAAATGAAATATACCATTCTCAAGTCTCCATACTAGCTAGTACTAAGGTCTACTTGCTGGGAGTAAATTCAGTATATATCAATAAAGCCACATTTTCAGCATCATTAACCCGTTACCTGCCATGGCCATTTTGATTTTATCGTGAGGGCAAAATCACATTTGTGAATTGAAAAAATTATAGAGAACTTATCTTTTATTGGATTTCAGATTTTATTTTTGTAAATAGTAGCATAACATTCAATTATTTGTACAAAATTGTATTATCTTAATGAAGTTTAAAGAGAAATTTAATTTTAAAAAATCCCAAAATATGTTTGAGACTATAAATAAGCTATCTTTAGGAAGAAAATTTTTTTCAAAAAAGATTTAAAAAAAAAAATTTCCTTCCACATCAGTGCCTGTCCTGCCATCTATGATTGGTATCTAAACCTTTTTCTAGTCTGTTTTCTTTATAAAACATCATCTGGGCATGTTAAACCTCGGTTGTAAAACATTTAACCAATCCTATTCGAAGGTGTCAATTTCAGTACCATATTATACCAATCGCTGTATTTAATGTTTGACAAATTGTACGATCATAAGCAAAGCACGTGATCAAACGTTCGCTGGATTTTACATTATGAATGTGAGTGGTTTATATTATAGTAACTGCCATTTTATATAGAGGTTGTATTTAGTATTGGTCAATAGTTTTTTTTTTATAAGCCTGAGAAAACTTGCTTCTTGAAAAAACTGCATAGGTTGTATGTGACTTATTATTTTTCTATAGTAGCTTAAGTCATGTCGTATCATGTATATATTTATATTAATCATTATACTGAAAAATTAACTCAAAATATATATATTTTTTAGGAAAGAGGTTGATCCACGAATGTTAGGGTTAAGAGCTATTGAGTGGCGAGTGCAATGTCTTTATTTTGATAAATTTAGTTTTTTTGCATTATGATCTTTAATATCTTGGAAAATATCATTAGGAAATGATTACTTTTTATGTTTTGGTACATTATTTTAAAATCTCTAAAAAATGTTTATCATCTATAAAATGCAAATTTTGTCCATTTTCAATTTTTTTTTAATAATCACGTTCTCTCCTTATGATTTCAAGTAATATACAAAACCTGAAAATAATATTTCTGTGTAAACCCAAACAATTATTTTTATTTTGTTTCATAAATGTATTTTTATTTCAAGTTTGTTTCATTGCAGCCAAACTTTTGTTAATTGTGCCGAATAAATCGTGAGGTTAGTAGCGTGAACTTTGTACATTTGCCGTAACCTATCATGCCTATTGGTGGTCACTCTCGTCCAGTCCAGCACAGGCACATTTGAACGTTCCTGTAGATATGATAGTAAGAAAGATTTTCCATACTTGAATATCATTTCTTTGAACTGTCAAACAAGTTTATTTGAACATATGTCCTTGTATGTTGTTTCACTATACAGACAAAACTAACTGCTACTACTAGCAAATGTATGTAATAGTTTACAGTACAGTTGGTTTGAATAACACCACCTGACCCTAATTATTTAATACATCCTGTTAGAAGAGATTACCAAATGATACAGACACCATAAACTACAAATAAAATTACTTTACAGCACTTAAAAGATTAGTCCTGGTCACATTCCTCTCATTATAGGCAGGATTTATGGTGGAATTTGATACTTAAGCTCTTCAGTGTATTGAGACTCTACTGTGACAATGTCATAGCTTCACTGTATTATTGAGACAAATGTATTTAGTCTGTTTCACAACCAACATATGGGTTTTATTGTTGTCACTTGCACACCGAGTTTTAAACCATTTGCAAAATATCAGAATAAGCTTTTTATACAGTTACTGTTTTAATTCTAAAGCAATAACAACAGAAGTGTGGGTCTTACTACAAAATAAAGAGTAACAAGGTAAAATATAAAATTCTTGTGTTACTGGTACTAGTAGTATTACGTACAAATGACACAAGTTTATCATTCTAAATACTGAATCATATTATTATCATTATGAACTAAATATAAAATTACGCTATATTATTGAACTTAAAACTACTAATTTAAATGCAAAAGAATATAAAAAAATCAAACTCTTTCAGTTCAAAGTGGTAAGCCTAATTCACGTAACTGGCTTTATGCTTCTTAAGTTAAACTACATGCATTTATGAAAGTTCTTATAAAGTTTCAAACAATTTATCCACTTGTTTTATTGTTGGAATGAAATATAGCAAGACTTGCATTGGCTACTCAGAAAGTTAGTAGCCGGTGGTTATCGGGTTAAAGGTTAAAAAATTTAACTTGCTTACAAAATCTTCTTGGTTTTTTAATGGTTTTCCTTTTATACTTGTAGTTAACCAGAGGTTTGATTGGAATACATAAAACTGTCTCACTAAGAGAAAGTTGATTTTATTAAATCCAGCTGGTAATTAAAAGTATTAACATGTAAATAAATTGTTATGCAAAATGATGACAAAATTCATTACAATCTTTTAGATCTTCAATCTGACACACATCTGTGTGTGTGTGTGTGTGTAGTAATTTTTATTATTTCATTGTGTTTTTATTTCAGGAGAAAGCCACTTCAATGCATATCAGCAGCCCTATTTATTTTTCCAAGTCCTTTTTCTCTCTGGTCAGTTTGAAGCAGCCATTGAGTTTCTCTCTCGCATGGAACACTTGCGTTGTCATGCAGTGCACGTGGCCATTACACTGTATGAGCAGAACCTTCTGGCATTGCCTATAAACTTAAACGCTCCTCTCTGTAAGTACAGAAACTTAATCTTAAAAATGTAGCTGTAGTTTGTTTTTTATTTGAGTTGTTGAGAAAGAATTTAAAAAGGAATTTTTTTTTATACATGTGTTATCAAATATTGGACTATTAAACATAATCATGATAAATATATTTTATGAAATGATAAAAAAAATTGGCTTGGCAAATATGAGATAAACTATTTTTTTCAGAATCTTGTAGTATTTTTCAGGTTATTGTTAGTATCCGTTTTACTGTAAAATAAAACTTTCAGCCATAAAAGGTGTATGCGACACAATGAAAGAAACCATTTTTCCTTCAAAAATATATATTGAGAATGGGTTGAGAAACTTTAAAAAATAACTAATATCATTATTTTCTTGTTATATAGAATTTATTATTATTATTCCCATTTTGATAAAGTTACTGTATAAAAATTTGCCATAATATTAATAATCACAGTTCACAGAGGACTTAGAGTTGTTAATAATTGGATTCAAAATACTTTATTTCAAATTCAGTTAATTTATTTTGTGCTAATTTTAAAATATAAGTTATATAGATAGTGGAAATATGGGGATAGAACCATCTTCAGAATTTTGATGTTAAATTGGTATACTAAACTATAAGAACTTTACTGTTAATATTCTTAAATGTTTTGTCAAAATTAGAATGTAACTTAAATATTAAATAATGTTTGTGTGAAGAAGGTTTTACTTACCCTTATACAGTGTCCAAAAATCCTGGTGATAAACCACCATCACGAAGATTGAATTTTGCCCATCTTATTATGATTTACACCCATAAATTTGAAGCCACTGATCCTCGGGAAGCTATTCAGTACTTCTATCTTCTCAGGTTAGTGTGAAACTAAGATAAAATATTACATTTGTTTCTTTTAGTATTATGTGAACTGAAAGATTTGGTGCTTCTAATATAGTATGAACTGCAGGGAAGGTTTAGTGTGAATTAGATAAAAGGTTTTTATGTAAGAGTTGTAGGAAAGTTTGACAACTACAAACAGAAATTGATTTTTTTCAACAACACAGTCATGTGAGAGGGATAATATTTTTTCTTGGTTTTATTTTAGAGGTCAATAGTTTCAGTACATAACTGTGCTATGAACACCGTTGTTTAATTTTTACATTTAACTGTTATTTTTTCTCTCTAATTTTATAGTTTACTCAGAGGTGTAGAGGTTTTTTTTTTTTTGCTAAAATGATTAATGTATTAACTGTCATCAAGCATCAAAGCCAGAAACTGCAGTTTTAAACATGAACTGAAGAAACTAAATTACATGAAATAGAGCTTTATATGTTCACAGATGATTGTAACATGGACTTTGTTACTTGATATTGTAACATAGACTTTGTTACTTAATGTTGTAACATGGACTTTGTTACTTGATATTGTAACATGGACTTTGTTGCATAATATTGTAACATGGACTTTATTGCATGGTATTGTAATGTGGACTGTGTTACATAATATTTATTCAATAGTTTTTTCTTCTTTTTGTGGACTGAGCTTCATGTAGAAGAAGTGTTATGATATAGTTGCAGGTTTTTTTATATCAAAGAGCTGCTCAAATATTTAGAAGAAAGACTTATATATATATATATATATATATATTACTTTTTAAATCTTTTTTTATTTTATCTTAGGAACCTTAAAGGACTTAAAGGAGAAGACTTGTTCATGGCATGTGTGAGTGAACTTGTTCTAGAAACCAAGGAGGTATGTATTTTGGTACAATGTTCATTTTCTGTGTAGGGGCATTATTGAGTCTCTCAATAGCAACTAGAAAAGGTAATATTCAGACAATCGAACATTTTGAGGCTTACCTTTTTTTTATTACTAACATTTTATAAAAATTAATTAATAGGGTAGTAGAGTGACTGGAGGAAGTGTCTCTCAATATATTGTTTGGAGATAGATACACTCATTCTTTTAGTGCTATCACCATATAAGATAAGAGTAAGAGTGCTATCATCATGCAACATGTGGGTTTATTTTTATTGGTGCTCTGGTATGGTAACTAGTTTATATATGTATATAACAGCAAGAATTCACCTATAAACACAAAGATGGTTCAGTTACCCCTAAAATATGATGGAGGGGACCTATCATGTTACAAGGTTGCTGCAGACAAAAGCAGCCAGCAAAAGATGACAACATAAGCAAAGTTTTGTGAAATGGAAATGAGCATGATGAAGACCTAATAGGATCATGTCAAGGAAGTGATGAGGACTTTGAGATTTAAGAATTGTACTAACAAAGTGAGTGAAGAAATTGATGACAATGCTGGTGAAGGCACTAGCTCATGACCTAGTAGGATCATGTCAAGGAAGTGATGAGGACTTTGAGATTTAAGAATTGCACTAACAAAATGAGTGAAGAAATTGATGACAATGCTGGTGAAGGCACTACCTCATGACCTCCTCTACTCTCGCCTGCCATGCATTGAGTGGAGGCCCAGTGTATGTTATAGATGTATCCCAGAATTACCTGCTTTTGATGCTTCTAGTTCTGGAATACAGCAGGACGATGGAAAAAGTGAAAAACCAGTTGAGCTAAAATATTTCAAGACATTTTTTGATGAAACTTTGAAGAACCACATTGTGCATGAAAAAAACAAATATTATTAGTACTGTGCTGAAAAGATTGAGATGTCCACTGGTTCAAGAATGCTTAAGTGGAAAGATACAGATGTTAGTGAACTATGTTTTTGTTTTCACTTGTAAGGCTTATGCCACACATGAAAACAAGGTCTGAAAGACTGTTGGTCATTGGATCTACTACTCCACACAAAAATATTTGGCCAATACATGAGCAGAAACTGCTTTAATTTGCTTTTGTAATTCTTTCATTTTGCAGATAATGAAAATCAAGATGAGGACAAGCTATTCAAGATAAAGTATGTTCTTTCATATCTGAAAGACAACAATTTTCAAGCCATTTCAGAAACTGGTAATTGGCAAATTTTTGGTCATGTTCAAAGGTTGCTTAGGATTTCATCTAAAAAACATTGTTTTGGAATCAAACTTTTTGTGTTGTACGACTGTAAAATTGGATATATTTTGAATGTGATAGTGTGTATAGGAAAATCATCAGACATACTAAAGAATTGCCCATTAGACTTATCTGGCACAATGGTGATAAAAATCTACATTGGCCAGGATCATATACCGTATACTGATAATTGGTATACTAATCCTGATCTGTGCAACTATCTGTTAGAAAATAAAGCTAATTCATTTTGGACAGTGACGTAAAATAGTAATCATCTGCCATTTTTATCTTCTAAAATTAAGTCGCATGAATGTTACTTTGTGAACTCAAACAAAATACTGGTGATAAAGTGGCATGACAAGCGAGATGTATGCCTCTTGTCAACTGTGTATGAAAGACAAATGGATGACAGTGAAAAGAAGGACTGGAAAACTGGGCAGAAAATAATTAAACCAGTGGCAGTACTAGATTATGTACATAACATACATGTTATTGACAAAGTTGGTATGATGATTAGGTCTGTTGAGTGTGTAAGAAAATACATGAAATAGTACAAGAAAATTTTCTTTCATATGTGAGACATCAGTTAACTGAATGTCTACAATTTGTACTTATTGAAAACTGACAAAAAATGAACTCTGAGAGACTTTATACTTTCAGTAATACAACAGATCTTGGAAAAGATGCATTGTGGTGCACCACATCTGAAGAGACTAACAGGAAAACACTTTTATGAGAAACTGCCACCATCAGCAAGTAAACAAAGCCAACATAGAGCATGTTATTTTGCCTACACTGAGTGAGAAAACCACACAAGCAAAAAGGTTCAAGGTTCTGGTGCCAAGAATATGATGCATTTCTGTATTTTGAAAATTGCTTCAAAGACTATCACACGTTAAAAAACTACTAAATAGTAACATAAGTGTAACTATTACAAGTAATAATAACTAAGGATCATAAACACAGGATGTAGTTTATTTCTTTTTAAGTTTTATCAGTTTTTTTGACAAATACTCAGCAACTGGGTCACTCTGGGTGGTGGGGTGGGTGAAGTACTGAAAGGGTTAAATTATTGCAAGTGTTTGTTATGAGTAACCAATACATCAAGTTGAATAACAATGTTGTAGTTGATTGAAATGTATACAAATAATACTTTATATCCTGAAAAGTATTTTATTTAAGACACAAGTTGAGAATGTATGGTTTCATCATTTTATATAAGATGTGTAGTAACCCTTTGCTTTACATGAATATAATTAAGTGGATGTTAATATCATATTTAATTATTTGTTTATGATTGATATATTTGTTAATTGTGGTAAAAGTAACAGAAAGGATATTTTTACAATTATAAAAAATTAAGTACCAATTATTACCTGTTTGTAGGTGCTGGGTATATAGAAACATTTTGATATCACCATTTAATGTTATCAGCTGTGATAGGTAACAATGTTGCATCACCTACATGTTAGCTGAAACTCTGAAATGGACATTTAAAGTATAGAAATATTTAAAGAAAAAATATCTGTGATAGCTATGGTCTTCTGCTGAGATATTTTATGAAGACCAAAAGTTATGTGAACACTTTGAGGAATATTTTAATTGAAGCTAAAACAAAACTTTTGTTTCACATCCCATAAAAAATTTAGCTTTTAATCTTTTTATTTCTGCAAAAGAGGGAAATGCAGTTTTCACACTCAGTTATATATTGATAAGACAAACAAACATAAATGTGTCAAGTGTAGTAAAAGGACAACTAAAAGTTAATATTTAGAAGATGATAAAGAACATGTGTTTATGCTTGTTTGTCTTATCAATATATAACTGAGTGTGAAAATATACTTTTAGTTGTTCTTTTACTACACTTGACACATTAATATTTAGAAGATGATAAAGAACATGTGTTTATGTTTGTTTGTCTTATCAATATATAACTGAGTGTGAAAACTTTTAGTTGTTCTTTTACTACACTTGACACATTAATATTTCGAAGATGATAAAGAACATGTGTTTATGTTTGTTTGTCTTATCAACATATAACTGAGTGTGAAAATATACTTTTAGTTGTCCTTTTACTACACTTGACACATTAATATTTCGAAGATGATAAAGAACATGTGTTTTGCCTGGTTATGGCTTTCATTTTTAAAAAATGGTAGTTATATCTAACTTCACCCGACAGTAAGTTTTCTTGTGTTCAAAACAAAACATAACAGTTAAAAA